GCTCCTAGATGAAGGGTTGACTTGGAAATCGCATATCTCACACATACAAAAAAAGATGTCCAAGAGTATTTTTGTATTAAATAAGGTAAAACATGTGTTAGAGTATAAGGCATTGAGAACTTTGTATTGTGCACTTGTGTTACCCTACATCAACTACTGTGTGGAGGTGTGGGGAAACACATACCAAAGCAACACAAGGTCATTATATCTCCTACAGAAAAGAGCCATCAGAATCATACATAAAACAGGTTATAGAGAGCACACAAATATCTTATTTTTTAACTCTAAACTCTTGAAATTTAATGAACTTGTTGAATTACAGACACTAGTGGTTATGTTCAAGGCAAAAAATAAAGTACTACCAACAAATCTACAAAAAATGTTTACCCTTATAGAGAATGAAGGAAGAAGGAAAGGGCATTTTAGGCATCAATTTGCAAGGACAACCTTAAAACAAATGTGTACTTCAGTGGTGGGAGTGAAACTCTGGAACTCTCTACAGAATGAGTTAAAGCAATGTAAAAACATATTTCAGTTAAAAAAAGTATTTAAAGAGAAAACGATGAAGTTGTATGAGCATTCATAGAAAGAGAAAAATCAGGGTCTTTTTCTATTATTGTCTTGTTTTGTTGTTGTTATTGTCTTGTTTTGTTGCTGTAGATGGGAGTCATCCCCCTAATCTGACATTTAAGTTTGATAAACAGGTGTTGCCTCAGCTGGTTTTATTAGTATTTATGTTTCTTTAAAATTTTACATTTCTTATCAACTTTATAGCCAAAATGATAACTTGAAATACACTAAGGCATGTTGCACTTGGTTACTTCTGTTGTTTAGTTGTGTAGCTATGGATCTTTGTTTAGTATTGTTTTATCTTACTATTATCTCTCTTTGGATGTTCGGCTATGATATGAGTGAGTATCATTACTTGATGATGGCGATGATTATGGAATGCTTTTGCTTTAAAACTTGATGATGGTGGTGGTGATGATGATGATGATGATGATGACGACGACGATGATTATGGTTTGCTTTTGCTTTAAAATTTGTTTCAGATTAAGATATTAGGAATGGATGTTTTGGTTTGGTTTTTATTTTTGTTTCTTTTACTTATTATTCTCATGCTCAAACATAAGGTGTTGATAAGTATCAGAGTAATTTTTTGTAAAGGGGGCAGAAAATATAAGATTTTCTTCATTTTGCCTCCCTTTTGTCATGGCTGTGTAAACTATATGGATATGAAGATGTTAAAAAAAAAAAAAAAGGTTTTGTTATTGGAACACATTCATGAACGAAATAAACTTCAAACTTGAACTTTTATATATTGATATAGTTTTATTTTGAGGCAGTTATAGCCTACTGCAGTGCTGTCTTGATTCTCCTGATCCTTTACATGTAAGATTTAACGTTACATTAACTTCTGATTAGCTACGTGACAGTGCATCTTAGTTGATGTTGCAGAATAGGCAAAAGTAATATAAGGAGTAGTGTAATGAATTACTTTACAGATGGTTACAAGGAGTCAGTAAGTACAGTAATGCATTACTTTTTTTGAGATATGACCTCAACACTATTAAACACATGTACTCAACTAAAACATAGTCATCTTTGTGCTCACCTAAACACATGTTTAATGTGTCTTTGTGCCTCACAGGGTTGTGTGGGCTGCAACTCGGGCCCAGGGGTCGCCCACTCCCCTCTCCCCACAGCCCCCGATAGCTCGTCCCCTCTGGAGATCCCCCCGCAGGACCCCATCGGATCTGTCGTCGACACCTGAGAGACCTGGACCCCAAGCACTTATCTCACATCAAACCAGCCCTGCCAGAAACCTCAAAAACTCCCACCATGCATCTCTCCTGACCAATGTGGAGGAGTGGGTCCCTATGCTTTAGTTTTACATGTTTTGTAAAGGTATCGGAGGCTGGACCAGGCCCTGAGAAACGGAGGAGGCAAAAGGAATGGGCATTTTGTTTGTCAGCCTAATGTGACTGCCTTTATCGGACCATAAATATTATACCTCTCTTCTTTTTGTGTTCATGGACCCCTGCAGGGGTTTAGGTTGTATTTAAGACTGACCAGTAATTGGCACCACAGACCACTTGACATTCAATATAGGATGATGGTCCCATGGTTGCTGCCCCTAAACATATGCACTGTGTACACATGCTGGGTCTGTCGGATGAGAGTGACTGGGAGACAGAGACAAAGACAGTGCTGGCCCAGTTTGAGTATCAGAACACACACCAGACTCTTCTCCAGAGACATGGAGTTCAGGCTGTACAATACGTGTACCACATCAACTCCTTCAACTGCATAGTAACTTACCATGGTTGACATATGGTAGATTTTTTTGATGGACATGAAGACAAAGACACATTTGCTGCTCTGTGTTTATAATGTTCAGATTCTAGTCTTGTAAGTTAATTGTTATTGGAGTGTATTCTCTTATTCCATAGGTTGGGTTCCTCTTGTCTAGAACATTGGTTTTTATGTTACTCTGACTCACAAACAACAGCAAATGTGATGATCATTTCAATTTGAATTTAGTGCTACAACAAAAGTCCACCCTGATGTCCAACACTTCCTGTAGCGAGTCCTTTCTCCACCCAGTGTCCTGGTCATCACCCTACAGTACCTGTAGCTTACCTTTAATTGTAAACGCACAGCTTGGCCCCAAATGTCCTCTGATCCTGGGTTTACTTACTGAATGAGTTTCCTCTTAGGCTCTGTGTCTGTTTGACTCTGTGTGTGTGTGTGTGTGTGTGTGTGTGTGTGTGTGTGTGTGTGTGTGTGTGTGTGTGTGTGTGTGTGTGTGTGTGAGTGAGAGA